TATCAGACAGTGTTATCGGCTAGAGAATGAATAGGTGTCACCCAGATAAAAAACATAGGAAGAAAATGCCAGACAGAGCCCTGTATGGCAGGAGGCAATATGATGTAAATAAAAACCTAACAAAACAAAACAAAACAAAAAACCAAAAAAAACAAAAAAACAAAAAAGAAAGTCAGCGTGCCCAATGCTACAAAGAAACATTGAAGAGGAAAAGGGAAAGCCGTAGATGAGTTGGGCTAGGGTACACATGCTCCAAACTGCTGGAGGAAAAAATCAAACAAAAGCAATCCAATGAAAGATAATGAAGAAAATAAGCAACAAAACAAATACGCCTATAAATAGAAAAAGAAAAAACGGTGGGAGAGATGAGGTCAGACATAACAGATACAAAAACCGCAAACCATGCTAAACTGTCCTAGGAAACATACGACATTCATCATAGCAGTTGCGGGGCCAGACAAGTGAATTAAATGCAGGTATAAGAGGAACCACTATCTCTGCATTCTTTAAATCTTTAAGGGTAGCATTAATGTTTACCATTACCACTGTTATGTGATGCTGTTTTTAACTTCTGCATGAAGTCTATTTCAGTGTTCTACTTGACCTTTTCTACTATAATTTTTTTATTTTTGTACAGGTGGAGTCTCCCTGTTGCCCAGGCTGGTCCTGAACTCCTGGGCTCAGGCAATTCTCCTGCCTTGGCCTCCCAAAGGCATGAGCTACCATACCTGGCCTAGTAATTCTTACTCTATGAGTGAAAGACCTAATGTGAGGGGCTGCCAAATAATATGTCACTCCAAATGGCACCGACATTTGGGAAGCAGGGAAATGATCTCTGATCTCTGATTGACTCTTTTCTGTGAATTATCTCCCATTACTGTGAAGATAGTGTATTTGCCATAAAGTCATGTGGTTTTTGCTCTATTCTCCCTCCTTGAGTGCTAACTCTTCTATTTGATGATTTTAGATGTCTCTATTTTATGCTATTGGATATACACAAACGATTCTCTCTTCAGCTTTATATTTGAGAAGCCCTGTGTACCAGCTGTTCTGTGTTCTCTCCCTAACTCCAGAGATTGTGGGGAGGGAGTAAGGCCATACCTTGAATAGGGAGGTTTGGTGGTAGTTTGTCTTCTGGGAGCTCATGCTCCCCACCGCTGCATGATTCATTAGCTGCAAGGCGGGGAGGGGGCGCATTTCTCTGCCTATCCAAGACCATTTCCCACTGCTTTAGCTTACAAAGTTACTGCTAGCTCATTGTAGCTGGATATGAGGGAACTACCAGCTTAGCTGCTCAATCAACCTGATACTTGCCCTAGGGCCATCACTCACTTCTTGTACCTAGGCTTTGAGTTTCCCTGACCTTTATTCACTTTACCCGGCTGTACCAATTGTTAACATTTTGCCCCACTTTTTCTATCATTTTCTTTATCGTTCTAAAACCAAATATCTGATATTGAAACTTACATGTCTATATAAGAAAGTATAAAAAGTAGATTTCCAAAATATAGAACAGGCCAGGCACTGTAGCTCATGCCTGTAATCCCTGCACTTAGGCACTTAGGGGAAGCTGAGGCGGGTGGATCACTTGAGTCCCGGAGTTGGAGACCAGCCTGGCCAACATGGCAAAACCCCATCTCTACCAAAAAAAAAAAAACAAATAAATACAAAAATTAGCCAGGCACGATGGTGCCCATGCCTGTAGTCCCGGCTACTTGGGAGGCTGAGGTGAAAAGACAGCTTGAGCCTGGGAGGCAGAAGTTACAGTCAGTTGAGATGGAGCCACTGCACTCAAACCTGGGCAACAGAGTGAGATCCTGTCTCAAAAGAAAGAAAAGAAAAAGAAAAGAAAGAAAATAAGGAAAGAAAGAAAAAAAAAAATCGGGACGGGGTAGGGGTGAGGGGATCTTATCAAGGAAATCATATAATAAAACTTCCCAGAACTGAAGAATAATATGTTTCCATATTGAGGGAGCCTCGCACAGGCCTGAAAAGAACTATGAAGAAACCATTAGCAGCTCCAGCCCACTGCTGCTATCCGGAAATATGAGTCCCATGTTGAGAGATATCCTGATTTTTTTAAAAAAGACAAAAAACCAAAATGTTAATGAAAACTCTTCTAATTTATAAATGAGCTGGGCACGGTGGCTCACACCTGTAATGCCAGCACTTTAGGAGGCCGAGGTGGGCGGATCACCATCACCTGAGGTCAGGAGTTTGAGACCAGCCTGGCCAACATGGCGAAAACCCGTCTTTACTAACCATACAAACATTAGCAGGGCATGGGGCACACACCTGTAATTCCAGCTATTTGGGAGCCTGGGGCACGAGAATCACTTGAACCCAGAAGGCAGAAGTGAGCCGAGATCGCACCACTGCACTCCAGCCTGGGTAACAGAGCCAGACTCCATCTCAAATAATAATAATAATAATTTGTAAATGATGGCTGAAATTAAACATGCCTGGCCACACAAGCATGAAAGTAGGGAAGGACGGGGCCATCTGTAGGTTTGACTACCTTGTGTGTGAAGAGTACTCAGGGCCATGGAGTCTGGAAAGGCAGAACGAACACAGAGCACAGAAAACCAGAAGCCAGTGGAGGTTTGAGTATGAGCTTTGACAGGAGAGGGAGGGGTTGGTGACCTGTGAGCGTAGTGTAATGTTATTAGACAACTTAAGGTTCAGAAAATTAATCTGATTGTGGTATAGAGATGGATGGGCAGTGGGAAGGGCGATGAAAAGCAGGAAAATCTGTTAGAGAGTCACAGTAATAAGAATGAGGACCCAAACCAAGGCTACATTTTCATTTTCAGTTTTTGGAATGCCTGGAAATCACTGTGTTCTTTTTTTTTTTTTTTTTTTTTTGAGACAGAGACTCACTCTGGAGTGCAGTGGCACAATCTCTGCCCACCGCAACCTCCGTCTCCTGGGTTCAAGCGATTCTCCTGTCTCAGCTTCCAGAGTAGCTGGGATTACAGACGCCTGCCACCATGCCTGGCTATTTTTTTTGTACTTTTAGTAGAGACGGGGTTTCGCCATGTTGGCCAGGCTGGTCTCGAACTCCTGACCTCAGGTGATCTGACCACCTCAGCCTCCCAAAGTGTTGGCATTACAGGCGTGAGCCACTGTGCCCGACTGTCCCTGTGCTCTTTATCGAATAAAAAAGAAGAGAAGAGATGAAAAGAAAAGGAAAAAAGTTTCATACATGATTCTATAATATGAACTATGATTTACTAAATAAAATTCTCATTTCATGCCATGAAACACAATATATAAGCAATATAATCAAAAGTATAGTGTCAATGAGTACGGAATCAATTTTAACTGATTCCGTTCTCATGAACAGAACTTTTGAAATTTATTATAACTGTTCATTTTTTTACCTGATAAAGAATATTTTTTTCCTCCTACCAGATGAATGATTAAGCCAGCTTCAATCATTTTTTGAAAAGGTACAGAAAATTTCTTACTTTAGAAAAACGTATTAACATAATTTTAAAGAATGAATAAATAAAAACTATCATCATTTTATCTTATGGGAGGAACCCAGGTCCAACTCCCTGCCAGAATATCAAATTAATGGCAATAATTTCATATCACTAATTGGAAATTAAATTCATAATGAATTAATACATAAAAACAAAAAGAACTGCTGCCATTTATTAAGCAGCCATGCATTTTAGAATGTAGGTCTTATCTCCTTTTTTATCGATAAGGAAGTTGTACTCAGAGAAATTAGGTAAATTGCCTTAGGTCACACAGTTCTGAAGAGAGTTGGGATTCCCAGTCATGCCTGTCTGATGTAAATGTCAGGGTTCTAGTTGACACTGCTTCTAGTTGTAGGGAATGCTTCCCATTTAATAGAGCAACTACAAGGGTTGATTCTCTTCAATAATAACTTCTCATCAGGCAACCACTTTCACTTTCAGGATTTCATTCCACCGAATTCCTATGCATTCAGATGTTTTAAAAGAGGCTACTGAAGAAGTAGGTCACATGAACCAACCTTTCCACCACCAGTGAAAGCACTGCCCAGACTCCTGGGATGACCTACTCTGGTATTTTCATATCATTTTACCCAAGAGTTGAAAAAAATGCCTGCTCACATCCTTTGAATTCAACACCTTACCCACCACTTTCTTTCACTTCAAGCAAGGTCTGATTTGCACTAACTAGTAGGAGGTCACCATCTGTAAAGTGATTTCTCCCAGACTATTTTAGCTCTCAGGGACAGCCAGGGCCCTAAATGAGTCTGTAAGCACCTCTAGGAAAGTTTACACATTATGCTGTTGCAAGCAATCCTTGTATGTGCGCATAGTGAAAACCTTTTCTCTTAAAACTCTTAATACTGAAGTTCCCCAAACCTTTGGAAAATGTGCAAGTCACAGATGCTCCTGTGACTTGTGTTTTTCCCTTCGGGTGCGTCCTCAACCTTGGTTAAATCAACCTCTATTGAACGAGACCTGCATCAGTCACTTTTTGGTTAACACTAGGTATTCAACGAATAGACTAGTCTCGCCGTTGTCTCCAGATATGATGGTGCCCTGGCCCAAAGAAGTGAGATACTCCTCAGGTCCTGGCTCCCAAGCATGGGTTATTTGCACAAAACCCCGCAGGAAGCTTTTGGAGCCACAGTCGACTAAGCTGGAGTCAGACTCTGTTACCTCCTGGCTCTGCCATCACGAGCAAGGAGCCTGCTTCCTCATTAACAAAAGGTAATGACCAAGGGACCACCTTACAGGGTTGTGGCAACGGGCTCATGGAATTATACGTGCCAAGTGGTTATCACAGTGCCCGCCACTGGCGGAAGACGAGACAATGTGGACGGCGAGGAAATGGGAGCATCGGCTGGAAACCAGGGCTGGAGATAGGATGGGGGGCGGGCAAGGGCACGGCGGAAAGGGTGGGCGAGGGATCCGTGTCCCAACTCGCCGGGTCGCAGCTCTGCCCGGCGAGCTTCCGCCGAGACCGCCCCCCGGGAAGCCGCGTTTCCTTCCTGCAGTCGCGGTACAGCGTGGGGCACGGAGGGGCTCACGCACCCAGGAGCGCGCAGGCCTTCCCGAGGGCGTGCCCGCAGCGCGCTCCGCCCCGGAAACACGCCCACTGCCGCCTTGGCGGGCTTTCGAAACGTTCAGGTTTCCTAGCGTCCCGCTGCTTGGGAACTTATTTCTTGCCTGCCAAGCCTGCCGCCAGCCGGGCGCGGCAGGACTCCTGGACCCGGCGCTGCGATGAAGAGGACCCGCGAGGAGGTGGATGCGACGCTGCAGATCGCCAAGCTGAACGCGGCCGAACTGCTGCCAGCGGTGCACTGCCTGGGCTTCGGCCCGGGGGCCAGCGGCGCTGCCGCCGGCGACTTCTGCCTGCTGGAGCTGGAGCCCACGCTGTGCCAGCAGCTGGAAGATGGACACAGGTGAGCCCTGGACAGACCGCGCCCCCAGCCTCGGGCCGGCCACGTTATTTTCTAATCGGGGAAACTCGGGATGAGGAAACGGCCAGAGAGATGCACTGACTTGGCGGGGGGCTCATAGCCTGTTCCCGAGGAGTCCACGCCTCCGGTGGGCAGTCCAGTTAGCTGCACTGCGGTGATTAGTAGCACTGGTCCAGCTGACTTTGGGGACCTGTGTCAGCGGGAGCAGGTCAGGAAATACTAATACAACCTCAGTGAGATTTTTGAAGAGTTACCGGTGATTACAGGGACTCTACAGGACACCGGTCATGGTCATTCTACCTTAAAATACAGTGGTGATATCCACTATTTATAGAATTCTTGCCTTCCACTTATATTTATTTTACTCAGACGATAGATAGGAAGTGTTGGGAATCAGCTTACAGACTTGGTAATTGGGTGAGACCCCCACCCACCCCAAAGCAAACTTACTCAGTAGGGATCTGAAGCTGTTTCTAATTCCAGGTCAGAAACAAAGTTGCTGCAAGATCATTGATTAAAAGTCGAAGTTGAGGTAGTTTTTTTAAAGCAGTCTTGAGAAGTCTAGAGAATCGTTGTATCCCTCCACCCTGTGCAGTCCCAACTCCTGCAAAACAGGAAGCTCCAGCTTGATTCTCTTCTGCACAATTGGTCCTCCGACACCTATATTTTATTAGGCTATTTTTTCTCTTTTTTCTTAATGGAATCCTTTAGGCTGTCTTTCAATTTTCGAACTTTGCCCACCAAAGAGTATTAAACTGGCCATTCTTCAGATACTTACTATATACCTCAAAGTACCTTTAACGGAACTGAAAGAACTTCACTCGTCTGTTTCCATCCCAGCTCAGTTGGTGGAGAGTTGCGAAAGGAACTCAGGTGTGAGGGCTTTCTCTCGGTCCAGTTCTAGTTAATCCAGCTGGCAAAAACAAACAAACAAACAAAGGCCCTGGAAACGTGTGTTTTTAATTTTGGGGTGTAGGGGGGGATGGTATAAACAAAATATTTCAAAGTGGGGGTGGTGCAGTTAGACAAATAAATGTTAAAGACTAGGTACTTGGGCCTATTAAGCATTCATTAGCACTGGGAATCTAAAAAACCTTTTATTCTTTTCACTTAAATGAAGACTTAGTCAAAAATAAATACACAGTCTGCTATTTCTGGTTTCTTATTATTTATTCAAAAGAAACGAGTTGCGCACAGGAGTATTAAATACTTTACAGACAAGGAAAACTGCTAGAACCAACTCCCCTGTCATTGCCATCATCTTTGTCTTTAGTCCTTCCTTTTCCTCCTCTTCACCTTCATTCTTTCCCTCTTCCTTCTTTTTTCTTTATCTTTTTTTTGGGAAGAGGGTGGTGGGAACAGGGTCTCACTCTTATCAGCCAGGCTGGAGTGGAGTGGCACAATCATGGCTCACTGCATGATGGTACCGTGACTACTCGGGCTCAGGTGATCCTCCCACCAGCTTCCTGAGTAGCTGAGACTTCAGGTGTGCACCACCACACCCAGCTAACTTTAAATTTTTTCTTTTGTAGAGATGGGGTCTTGCTCTGTTTCTCAGGCTGGTCTCAAACTCCTGCTCTCAAGCGATCTTCTGGCCTCAGCCTCCCCTAAAGTGCTAGGATTACAGGCATGAGCCACGGTGTCCTTGCTTTTCTTCAGCGGTGACAAAATCCCTTTGTCAAAGTCTTTGGTTTAGTCCAGTTTGTAAACATATCCTTTTCATATTTTTCATTCACCACTGCATCCTTTTTTTCATAAGGTCCCAATTTTTTTGCAACACAACTTATGGTTGGGCCAGGAGGTGCTGCTTTGATTGTGAGGGAATACTCAGAACAAAACAAGGATGACACTTGTATGGTACCAGGAGCAGCAGCTTGGTCTTTCTCGGGGAGCTTGTTAGAAATACAGGACCCTGGGTCCCATCCCAGACCCACTGAATCCCACTTTGCTTTTAAACAACATTCTCTAAGATGCCTATGCATACATGTGAGAAGTACCACTTTAGCATGTTGTAGAAAATTGTGACAGCTTGACTGAGGCTTCGGGATGCTTTGTCTTATGTTCTTTCCAGCAGTTTGCACAAAGATGCCATGTAGTGCCATTTGTCCCCTTGGCCTCTATGGATCTGTCTTGCCCATCTTTAGTTATTTTTCCTTAATGAGGCTCTGGGTGGGCCGTCTGTGTGGCTCTCACTTAGCCCAATGCTTGCTGTGTGGAATCCATCTTTGTGCTAGCAGGGGGCAGAGGCAGCATCAAAACTTAATTCTAAGTTCTGTAAGCCTAGAGGGTTTGAGAACTGTTTCTAATGAAAATGTCTACTGGAATGTCAATAAATCATGTATTTTTCCCCCATTTTGCTACAGTCTTGTGATTCGTGGTGATAAAGACGAGCAAGCTGTGCTGTGCAGTAAAGACAAAACATACGACTTGAAGATAGCAGACACTTCCAATATGTTGCTTTTCATTCCTGATTGTAAAACTCCAGACCAGCTGAAGAAGGAAGATTCACACTGTAACATTATTCACACTGAGGTGCTCTTTTCTGTACTCTGATTTATAAAAGTCTGAGAATGAAAACAGATATGGTAATTTGGTCTTTAAAAACTTTACATGTAAAATCTATAATCAGGGAGAATCTAAGAAGTTCTTCAAAGAAATTTGAATTTCTCAGCATTTTGCTTGTTTGTTGCTTGTTTGTTGGAGTCTTGTGAACTGGTTTGTTGGAGTCTTGTGAACTTGTCTGATTTTTCCTATTTTGATTTTCAAGTCCCAGACAATTTTATCTTTTTTCTATAATGTGCAAAGTTTGTTATTCAATGACTCATTCCAAAAATCCTACCTATTTTTAGTAGATTTCGCTGTGGATATGTTTTGAAAGGAGACTCCCTCAAACCATAACTGGTTCATTTGATAATATTTATGAGGAGGAGAAATGAAGAAATTTGAGCCAGGTGTGGTGGCTCACGCCTATAATCCTAGCACTTTGGGAGGCCAAGGTGGGGAGACTACCAGAGCTCAGGAGTTTGAGACCAGTCTGGGCAACACAGTAAAACTCTGTCTCTACTAAAATACAAAGAATTAGCCGGGCGTGGTGGCATACACCTGTAATCCAAGCTACTTGGAAGGCTGAGGCAGGAGAATTGCTTGAACCCAGGAGGCAGAGGTTGCAGAGAGCTGAGATCACGCCACTGCACTCTAGCCTGGGCAACAGAGCGAGACTCTGTCTCCAAAAAAGAAATGAAGAAATTGGAGTTTTTGAAGGAAGTGTGTTTCTTAGCTTTGAAGTTGGTTTAGTTCATTAATATCCGTAACCAAGTATAACAAATTTTTAATTATTTTGGAGAATATTGATGGCAGTAACCAAACAAATCTCCATTCTGTCTGTTATATATGTAACAATCCAAGCATAGCCCTTACTTCTTTGAGAACGACTTTAGGCCAACTATATCCTTAAATAGAGAGTTGGAGAGGAACGAAGGGAAAATGCTGGGAAGCTTCAGTGATTCATGTGATGTTACTAGAACAGAGGAACATCCAGTAAATATACTAGGTTGGTTTTTATAGGGTTTTAAGATTTTCAATGTAATTAACTAAAAATATTGGCAGTTCATCCTATTGTAAAAAAGTAATTTTTTCATCACTTATGTGTTCTGTAGGTGTTTTTGTGAGGGCATAATAATGTCTATAAGAATCTTTGAGCTCTTGCTTGTTATGGAAATTCTATGTACTGAGATTGGCTAAAACTTCAGGATCCACTAACCAAAGCCATAATCGTGATTGAACCTCAGATGCTTAAAGGGGTTACATAAGAAATAGGCTGGGGTTGATAAATGGTGGTAGATACCCAGGAGTAACAGGGAGTGGTTGGGTCTGCAGCAGATGGCAAAGCACAATCCCCAAGTAGTTGGACGGCCACTACTCAGCTGCCTTGTGGGAAAGTAGGCCCAGCATTGCTAGACTTATTTTTTCTAAGTAATTCTTGAAATTTAGATTTTTGGGGTGAAATCTAATTTTTTTAATGTTGGCATCTAATTGAAACACTATGCCAAACCTCCCCCAGCACACAAAAGCATACCACAATATCTGTGTATTGGATGTAGCCAGAAGGCTGCCATTTTTTTGTTTTGCTTTGTTTTTCCTGAGATGATCATAAAACAGCAAACCACTTTTAACTATGGATAAAATCAGTCTGTCAGATTTGGTCCTTAAGCTCTTCTTTGGGAGGCCTTAGATTCAGCAACATCTCCTTCAGGCTCTAGGCCTCATCTTGTCAATCAAGCCTTATCCTAGTTTGAAAGTAGAAGCATCCCCTGTCCTTCCATTTCAGAGTTGGAGGGCATCCCAAAGGTAATCCAGTTTAGCCTTTTTTTTTTTCTTTTATGAAACACTTTTTTTTTTGAGATGGAGTCTCGCTCTGTTGCCGAGGCTGGAGTGCAGTGGCCGGATCTCAGCTCACTGCAAGCTCCGCCTCCCGGGTTTACGCCATTCTCCTGCCTCAGCCTCCCGAGTAGCTGGGACTACAGGCGCCCGCCACCTCGCCCGGCTAGATTTTTTTGTATTTTTTTAGTAGAGACGGGGTTTCACCATGTTAGCCAGGATGGTCTCGATCTCCTGACCTCGTGATCCGCCTGTCTCGGCCTCCCAAAGTGCTGGGATTACAGGCTTGAGCCACCGCGCCCGGCCTGAAACACTTATTGAGCAACTACTCAGTGCTAGGAACTAGGCAAGTCCTGTAGGTGCAGGCAAGGATAACAGATACTCATCCATTCTCTGGCCTCTTATCAAATGGATTTTGAGTGGTAGGCTCTCACTATTTCACAAATCAAACAGAGGAATTAGCTGCAGTTCTAAACAGTACAAAGATCTTGCATTAAACAGAAATCTCTCCTTTAGCTTTTGCCTCATTTTGACATGAGCAACACACTCCCTCTTCCCTTTAATGTCCCTGTTTGAAGACTATGATAATACCTTTTCTCTATTTTCTGCTTTTTTTTTTTTTTTGCCTAAGTATATTCATTTTTAGTTGTTTCCACCTGGTTTGGAGAATTGTCACCATCCTGGTCATTTTTTCTGGGCATACTCTAGTTTTCAGAGTATATTTGAGATGTGACACTCAATTATTGATTCTTACAATGTTGACAGTATCTTATTAAGGGGATCTGAAAAGATGGTCTTGAGGATGCCCATCCATCTAGTCGAGATGGCTGGAAAAATACCTTCCTGATACAAAGCAGAATACCTTGGAGCTTCCTTTTCTCAGTACTTGTTGAGGGGGCAGATTAATAAGTTGGAATTTTATATGAAATTTTCCTTTAGAATGGCCCCTAAAAGGTTATGATATATTATAATTTCCAGATCTTCGGTTTTTCTAATAATTATTGGGAATTAAGAAGATGTAGACCTAAGTTAAAGAAGCTAAAGAAACTTTTGATGGAAAATCCATATGAAGGACCTGACAGTCAAAAAGAGAATGATTCAAATAGCTCAAAAGTAAGACTCTTATTTTCACTTTTTTTATTTGGAATTTAACAACTATAATCAGAGGCACTCAATGGTCACATTCTTTTTAAAATTTATGTTATATAGCTGTTAAATGCTTGTGTTAAAAAAAAGTTACAAAATTTCAAGCATACCCCAAAACAGACAGAGTAGTATAATGACCCCCATATATTCATCATTCACTTGAACAATTAATGTCCTGTCAGTCTTGTTTCTTCTATCCCCTTTCTATCCTTCCATCTTTTTAATTTTTCTAGAGTATTTTAAGGCAGATCCTATATATCATAATGCCATTTATATAGCTAAAAGCTTCTCATATTCTTAACTTTGAAATAATAGTTTTTTAGAGGTAAAATTTTTTTTTATTTAATTAAAAATATGACTAGATGCTCTTGAGAGGGGCATAATGGAAGATATTCTTACTCCAGTGTCAAAATTAACTAATTCCTGAAAGTATGGAAAAATATAAAAAAAGTAAAAAACAGTTTTAAAGTGTTTTTGTTTTTTGTTTTTTTTTTTTTTTGAGACGGAGTCTTGCTTTGTCGCCCAGGCTAGAGTGCAGTGGTGCGATCTCGGCTCACTGCAAGCTCCGCCTCCCGGGTTCACGCCATTCTCCTGCCTCAGCCTCCCGAGTAGCTGGGACTACAGGCGCCTGCCACCACGCCCGGCTAATTTTTTTGTATATTCAGTAGAGACGGGGTTTCACCGTGTTCGCCAGGATGGTCTCCATCTCCTGACCTCGTGATCCGCCCGCCTCGGCCTCCCAAAGTGCTGGGATTATAGGCGTGAGCCACTGCGCCCGGCCAGTTTTAAAGTTTTTAATGTAAAAATGACAGAACTCTGCTGGTATGTGAAGACCATGTTTATAAAAAGAAGTTCCCTTTTTTTCCAATGGGCTCTTTCTAAAACTTTTTTTGGTAACAGCTTTATTGAGATATAATTCACATGCCAAACAATTCACCAATTTTAAAGTGTGCAATTGGATACTTTTTAGTACATTCACAGAGTTGTGAAACCATTAACACCATCACGTTTAGAACATTTTTATAACCCCAGAAAGAAACCCTGTAGCCTTTAGCTGTCACCTTCCAGTACCACTTTCTTCTTTCCCCTTTCCCCTTCGCTCTAGGCTACCACTAATAAACTTTCTGTCTATACATATGCCTATTCTGGACATTTCATGTAAATGGAATCATATAATATGTGGCCTTTTCTGATTGGCTTCTTTCACTTAGCATAATCATTTCAAGGTTCATTTATGTTGTAGCATGTATCAGTGTTGTGTTTTGTTTTGTTTTATTTGCAGATGGAGTTTTGCTCTTCTTGTCCAGGCTGGAGTGCAATGGCACAATCTTGGCTCACTGCAACCTCCACCTCCTGGGTTCAAGTGATTTTCCTGCCTCAGCCTCCCGAATAGCTGGGATTACAGGTGCACGCCACCATGCCCAGCTAATTTTTTACTTTCAGTAGAGATGGGGTTTCACCATGTTGGCCAGGCTAGTCTTGGACTCCTGACCTCAGGTGATCTGCCCGTCTCAGCCTCCCAAAGTGGTGGGATAACAGGCGTGAGCCACCACGCCCGGCTGCAGTGTTTTATTCCTTTTCTTGCTGAATAATATCTCATTTTACGGACATACCCATATTTTATTCATTCACTTGTCAGCTAATAGACATTTGTGTAACTTCTACTTCTTGGTTATTATGAATAATGCTTCTGTGAACATTCGTGTACAAGATTTTATGTGGACTTATGTTTTCATTTTTCCTGGGTATGTACCTAGGAGTGGAATTGATGGGTCATGTGGTGACTCTGTATAAGCTTTCAAGCTGCCATACTGTTTTCCAGAGTGGCTGCACTAGTTTCCATTGATGTTGAACATCTCATGGGCTTATTGTCGATTTGTATATCTTTGGAGAAATGCCTATTCAGTTTCTTTGCCTGATTTTTAATTATTTGTCTTTTTATTACTGAGTTGTAAGCGAATTCTTTAGATAGTCTAGATACAAGTCCTTTATCAGATATATTATTCGCAAATATTTTCTCCCATTTTGTGGGCTGTTTTTTGACTTTCTTGCTTTTTTTTTATTGCAGTAAAATATACATAACATAAAATTTAACATTTTTGGGGTTGGGGGCAGTGATTCACACCTGTAATCCCAGCAATTTAGGAGGCCAGGGTGGGACTATTGCTTGAGCCCAGGAGTTTGAGACCATTCTGGGCAACACAGCAAGAACCTGTCTCTACAAAAAATTTAAAAATTAGCTGGGCATAGTTGCATACCTCTAGTCCCAGGATGAGGTGAGAGAATCAGCTGAGCCTAGGAGGTCAGGGCTGCAAGTGAGCCATGATCACACCACTGCAGTCCAGCCTGGTGACAGAATGAGACTTTGTATTAAAAAAAAAAAAAAAGAGGCCGGGCTGGGTGACTCACGCCTGTAATCCCAGCAGTTTGGGGAACCAAGGCAGGCAGATCACCTGAGGCTGGGAGTTCGAGACCAGCCTGACCAACATGGAGAAACCCTGTCTCCACTAAAAATTCAAAATTTGCCGGGCGTGGTGGCGCACGCCTATAATCCCAGCTACTCGGGAGGCTGAGGCAGGAGAATCACTTGAATCTGGGAGGCGGAGGTTGCGGTGAGCTGAGATCGTGCCATTGCACTCCAGCCTGGGCAACAAGAGCAAAACTCCATCTCAAAAAAAAAAAAGAAAAAAAGAAAAAAGAAAATTTACCATTTTAAAGTATACAGTTCAGTAGCATCAAGTACATTCATAGTGGTATGCAGTCTTTAGCACCATCCATCTCTATAACTTTTTCATCTTCTCAAACTGAAACTCTGTGCTTGTTAAACAATAACTCCTGTTTCTGCGTCCCCTCAGCCCTGGCAACCACCATTCTACTTCCTGTCTCTATGAATTTCACTGCTTTTAATACCTCAGATAAGGGGAATCATACAGTATTTGTCCTTTTGTGGTGATAAACAAAAGTTTATTTAATAAATAAATAATAAACAAAAGTTTATTATTTCGATGATGTTCAGTTGATCTACTTTTTCTTTTGTTGCTTGTGTTTTTGGTGTCATTTAATAAGCCATCACCAAATCCAGTGTCATGAAGATTTACCTCTTTGTTTTCTAAGATATCCATTGATTTTGTGTAGAAATCATTATACATTAACAAAAGAAACTGAGCTAGTGCATAAATATTGCCTTAATCTGTCCATGTATTTATTCCCCAATATTCAGCAAGAAATCTAAAAACAAAATATTCTTCAAAGGTCTTAAAATATTTTTTTCTTTTTGCAGTATACAACTGAAGATTTGCTTGATCAAATTCAGGCAAGTGAGGAAGAAATAATGACCCAATTACAAGTTCTAAATGCCTGTGAGATTGAAGGTAGTGTTACTTACTACTATTATAACAATGATGACATTGGCCATCATAAGGGAGAGAAGTTTTTGGACATCTTCACCCTACTGCATATAGTTTATTTAATATTCTTTTGGGTTTAAGGATGGTGTCATTTGGGCCGGGCGCAGTGGCTTACGCCTGTAATCCCAGCACTTTGGGAAGCTGAGGTGGGTGGATCACTTGAGGCCAGGAGTTTGAGACCAGCCTGGCCAACGTGGTGAAACCCTGTCTCCATGAAAATACAAAATTAGCTGGGTGTGGTGGTGCATGCCTGTAATTCCAGCTACTTGGGAGGCTGAGGCACAAGAGTTGCTTGAACCTGGGAGGCAAAGGTTGCAGAGAGCTGAGATGGTACCACTGTACTTTAGCTTGGGCATCAGAAAAATGAAAAAAAGAAAAGATGGTAATATTTGTCTTTCTCGTCGTGGGATAGAGACTACATGTGATCATCTTTACATGAGGTCAATCTGCTACCAGTGACTTTAATCACACTTTGACTCCTTCCAATTTTTTTGAATTAAATGGTAAAGGAAGAACCATGTTTGATTAAGAAAGGTCCAGGCTGGGCGCGGTGGCTCAAACCTGTAATCCCAGCACTTTGGGAGGCCGAGGCTGGCCGATCACAAGATCAGGAGTTCAAGACCAGCCTGGCCAACGTGGAGAAACCCCATCTCTACTAAAAATACAAAAATTAACCAGGCGTGTTGGTGGGCGCCTGTAATCCCAGCTACTTGGGAGGCTGAGGCAGGAGAATCCCTTGAAACTGGAAGGCAGAGGTTGTAGTGAGTGGAGATCGTATCACTGCCCTCCAGCCTGGGTGAAAGAGTGAAACTCCATCAAATGAATAAATAAATAAAGTCCTTAGACATCAAATAGTCTAATCTTTTATTTTTTATAACTGGTAAGGAAACTAAGGCCTAGGAAGGGAAACTAACTTGTCCAGGGTACATGTGGAGTTAGTGACAGCATATGGCATATAACCCAGGTCCTTGAACTAGCAAAATTTTTTTTTTTTTTGTGGATGGAGTCTCACTCTGTCACCCAGGCTGGAGTAGAGTGGCGTGATCTCGGCTCACTGCAGCCTCCGCCTCGTGGGTTCAAGTGATTCTCATGCCTCCAACCTCCTGAGTAGCTGGGGTTACAGGCACGCGCCACAACATCCAGCTAATTTGTGTGTTTTTGGTAGAGATGGGGTTTTGCCATGTTGGCCAGGCTGGTCTTGAACCCCTCACCTCAGGTAATCCTCCTGCCTTGGCCTTCCAAAGTGCTGGAATTACAGGTGTGAGCCATGGTGCCCGGACCTAAAGCTTTTCTTTTCTTTTCTTTTTTTTTTTTAAAAAAGGCAGATGAAACTGCATTTTAATGCAGCCCTCTGCATTATTAACTTGCAGCATGGGGATGGATACAATTTCTGTAGGTGGATGCATAGATTACTTCTCGCTTTCTTCCTCAGTTTTACATCACACAATCCAGTTTTTAAATGTTGCCTTTATGTTTACAGAGTAAGAATAGAAACATTCTCCCTTAGAAATGGTGGATGTATACTTTTCTTTCTCTGGGGTGGTGGTCCTGCCATCAGTTATAAAATGGCATTTCATGGCCAGGCATAGTGGCTCATGCCTGTAGTCCTAGCCCTTTTGAGGCCGAGGCAAGTGGACCACCTGAGGTCAGGAGTTCAAGACCAGCCTGGCCAACATAGCAAAACCCTGTCTAGTAAAAATACAAAAAACTTGGCTGGGCATACTGGCCATGCCTATAGTCCCAGCTACTCAGGAGGCTAAGGCAGGAGAATCACTTGAACCCGGGAGGTGGAGGTTGCAGTGAGCTGAGATCATGCCACTATACTCCAGCCTGGGCAACAGAGTGAGACTCCATCACAAATAAATAATAAATAAATAAAATGGCATGTCATAATCTCTCACAGGAATAGGAAGGGGATCTTTATGATGCCCAGCCCTTAACTTGGCCCTCATCCACCTTGTACCTCAGAGTCTATCATCTCTTTGGTGAGCTGGACTTCTTTATGAGTATAGAAATGTCTCTGCAAGATAGCTGTGATGAGAGTTATAACCATGGTAGTGCAGCACAGCAGAGATGATCATAAATAGTGAACCTATGACCTTTACCTCATTTGTATGATACTCTAATGAAATGACTGTACCAACTGCAGATTTCCTAATTTCTGTTTAGAATGACAAGATCATTGTGAGATAGTTGAATGTCAAAGCAGTGGAGAGAAGGGCGCCATGCGATGTGCCTTTAATATCCCAGCTACTCTGTAGGCTGAGGCAGGAGGATCATTTGAGCACAGGAGTTTAAGACCAGCTTGGGCAAGAGTAAGACCCCATCTCTAAGGAAAAAAAAAAAAAAAAAAAAGAAGAAGAAAGAAAGCACTTGAGAAAAGCTAGTCATATGTAAAGTACTCTTGAAAAACAACTTGATCTCCCTGAAGACACAATTTAAAATGATTGGGAGAAAAGCTTAAAAAGAAGCACTGTTTACAGAAAGTGAATAGTTTTTTTTTTTTTTTTTTTTTTTTTTTGAGACAGTCTCACCATTGCCCAGGCTAGAGTGCAGTGGTGTAATCGTGGCTCACTGCAACCTTGGCCTCCCAGGTTCAAGCAATTCTCATGCCTCAGCCTCTTGAGCAGCTGGGATTACAGGTGTGTGCCACAGCGCCCAGCTAAGTTTTTGTATTTTTAGTAGAGATGGGGTTTCACTGTGTTGGCCAGGCTGGTCTCAAACTCCTGGCCTCAGGATCCCAAAGTGCTGGGATTACAGGAGTGAGCCAGCACACCCAGCCTATTGTCTCATTTTTGCAGTGGGCAAGAGTATGCTATGACTTTATCAATCTATTAGCTAGTTTACATAAAATGTTCTTTGAGCCAGGCACAGTGGCTCATGCCTGTAATCCCAGCATTTTGGGAGGCCGAGGTGGGCTGCTCATGTGAGGTCGAAAGTTCAAGACCAGCCTGGCCAACATGGTAGACCCCTGTTTGTACTAAAAATACAAAAATTAGCCAGGAATGATAGTGCATGCCTGTAGTCCCAGCTACTTCGGAGGTTGAGATGGGAGAATTGCTTGAACTCAGGAGGCGGAGGTTGTAATGAGCTGAGATCACGCTACTGTACTCAGCTTGGGTGAAAGAGTTGAGACCTTGCCTTAAAAAAAAAAAAGTTCTTTGGTAAATATAACTTATGCAATTTGTAGGTTATTGGAGGATTCTTGAATTTGATTATGAGATGAAACTTCTGAATCATGTAACTCAGCTTGTGGATTCTGAATCATGGTCTTTTAGCAAAGTTCCTTTGAATACATGCCTTCAGGAACTTGGACCATTGGAGCCAGAGTAAGTATTTTAATTTCTTGTCTACCCAGATTTCCTTAAGGGGAAGGGAGTTCTTTTACAGATTGGAATTAAACCCAGGGTATAAACTACAATAGTTATATTTTGATATCTTTGAGAAATGTTTAAAATTACAACCAAAGAAGATTTGGGAATTTTGGTCACTGGGGTGAATACATGTGCATCATCTTGTTTGTTTTTGGCCATAAAAATATAAAGAAATAGGCCGGGCACAGTGGCTCATGCCTGTAATTCCAGCACTTTGGAAGGACAAGGTGGGTGGATCACGAGGTCGGGAGATCGAGACTGTCCTGGCCAACATCGTGACACCCAGTCTCTACTAAAAAATACAAAAATTAGCTGGGCGTGCTGGTGCTTGCCTGTAGTCCCAGCTGCTTGGGAGGCCGAGGCAGGAGAATTGCTTGAACTCCAGAAGTGGAAGTTGCAGTGAGCCGAGATCGTACTACTGCACTCTCAAAAAAAATAAATAAAAATAAATAATAATAAATAAAGTAAGGAAATAATATGTTTGAGCTATTTTATAATAATAAATGTATGCTTACATAATTGATGTTAAAATGTTTAGCATGGGGCCTGGCACATGGTAGCTACTCAGTATATTTTAGTTCCTACTTTAAATAAAATATTATTTGGCAACCAAAATCACTTAGTATTTGAAATATCAAATTTCTTTCTTAATTTTGAGTTGGCAGTGGAGTTAAAATATAGTGCATAAAAATGCTTATAACTTTTCAAATGGGTGTTTTAAATTTTTCAGGGAAATGATAGAACACTGTCTTAAATGTTATGGGAAGAAATATGTAGATGAAGGTAAGATTTGGAAAATATTCTCATTTAACTCTTATATGTTAAAACTGGCATACCTTTCTAAAGCCTGTTGGTGTTAAAAATAAGAACTCTAGCTGGGTGCAGTGGCTCACACCTATAATCCCAGCACTTTGGGAGGCTGAGGTTTTCACTTGAGCCCAGGATTTCGACATCAGCTTGGAGAACATGATAAAACGCTGTCTCCACAAAAAAATACAAAAATTAGCTGGGTGTGGCAGCATAGGCCTGTAGTCCCAGCTACTCAGGAATCTGAGGTGGGAGGATCACCTGAGCCTGGGAAGGTCGAGGCTACAGTGAGCCTTGATTGTGCCACTGCTCTCTGGCCTAGGCGACAGAGTGAGACCTTCTCAAAAAAAAAAAAAAAAAAAAAAAAAGGCCGGCACAGTGGCTCACGCCTGTAATCCCAGCACTTTGGAAGGCCAAGGTGGGCAGATCACCTGAGGTCAGGAGTTCGAGACAAGCCTGGCCAACATGGTGAAAACCCATCTCTACTAAAAATAAAAAAAAAATTAGCCAGGTGTGGTGGCGCACACCTGTAATCCCAGCTTCTTGGGAGGCTGGGACAGGATAATCACTTGAACCCAGGGGGTGGAGGTTGCAGTGAGCCGAGATCACACCCAGGCTGGAGTGCATTGGCGTGATAGATAGAGCGAGACTCTATCTCAAAACAAAAAAAAAAAAACAAAAAAAAACGAACTACGGGGTTGTGGAAGTGAGTTTAGGTGTATAATTCCTTTCAAGAAACTGCAGTAAAAAAAGGAAATGTTAGTATAGTATTCAATTATAAGATGATAATTTGAAACTATCTGATACCTTTTCCTTAGGCGAAGTGTATTTTGAGTTGGATGCTGATAAAATATGCAGAGCAACAGCACAAATGCTACTTCAGAATGCAGTGAAATTCAATCTCGCTGAGTTTCAAGAAGTGTGGCAGCAGAGTGTTCCTGAAGGAATGATAACTAGTCTTGATCAGCTTAAGGTAATAGCAATAGACATTTCCACCTTACTTCAACAGTTGATTAATAACTAGGTGAATGATACTTGAGTTGGAGCTGAATTTGGAACCAATTTCTTTTCCTAGACACCCATTAGGAGTGCATGTACATCCAATCCATCACATAGTCCTTAAAACCCAATAAAGTATTGGAGTATACTTAACATATTGTAAACTACACCTTTAAAATATTTTAAATAATTTTAGTAAGTTGCTTTCACTACAATACAGTTTTAGAACATATCTTATCACCTCTATAAGATCGCTTGGGTCCATTTCCTCTTAATCCCTCTTCCTACTCAGTGTATCTCATTTTGTTCCATTTCTCACTATTTCTAGCACCCTTCTCCTAGTCCAGACTACCTTGATTTTCTGCCTCTAAACAGCAATAGCATCCCTAGGCAGGCCCCTTGCACTTTTACTTTTGCTCCCTTCCAATCCGTTCTCTGTGATGCTACTAGAATGATCTTTTAAAAATCAGACCAAGTGTGGTGGCTCACACCTGTAATCCTAGCACTTTGAGAGGCCAAGGCAGGCAGACCACCTGAGGTCAGGAGTTCAAGACCAGCCTGGCCAACACGGCCAAAGCCCGTCTCTACTAAGCATACAAAAATTAGCCAGGTGTGGTGGCGGGCACCTGTAATCCCAGTTACTCGAGAGGCTGAGGCAGGAGAATCCCTTGAACCTGGGAGGCGGGGGCTGCAGTGAGCCGAGTTCATGCCAGTGTGCTCTAGCCTGGGTGACAGCGAGACTCTGTCTCTCAAAAAAAAAAAAAAAAAAGTAATAAATAAATAAATGCCAGTCAGATCAGATGAATGTCCTGCTTAAATAACTTTATTTATTTATTTAGTTAGTTAGTTTTGAGACTGAGTCTGATTCTGTCACCCAGGCTGGAGTACAGTGGCTCAATCTCAGCTCACTGCAACCCCCGCCTCCTGGGTTCCAGGGATTCTCCTGCCTCAGGCTCCCAAGTAGCTGGGATTACAGGCACCCACCACCACACCCAGCTAATTTCTGTATGTTTGGTAGAGACAGGGTTTCGCCATGTTGGTCAGGCTGGTCTCGAACTCCTGACCTCAGGTGATTCGTCCACCTTGGCCTCCCAAAGTGCTGGGATTATAGGTGTGAGCCACTGCACCTGGCCTTAAATCAGTTTAATGGTTGCCTATTGCACTCAGGATTAAAAAAACTCAGAATTCATGTCTTGGCCTATAAAGGCCCTTCAGGATCACCTTCATAGCTTCATCTCTGGCTACTTTCCCTTCTGCTCACTGCATACCAACCCTGTTTCAGGTTTTCAAGATCATCAAGCTCTCACCTACCTTAGGACCTTCAAACAAAGCTTTTTGTTCTAGAATGATACTCTAATTTCATCTGGTCACCTCCTGCTCATCTGAGTCACTTCATCAAGGAGGCCTTCCTTCATTCTCCGCTTGAAGCAAAGGCCTCTGGTTTTACTCTTCGATAGCATGCTATGCTTTCCTTCATGGCACTCTCCCCTTAGCTTGGAAAAATGTTTATGTGGTTCACCACTCTACTTTGATGGCATTTTGTTTGCTGTTGCTTGCTAGTATGTAGCATACTGCCTGGCATGTGGCGTATACTCGGTAAATATTCCGTTAGTTAAATGTAAAGATTTGCTTGGTATTTATGGAGTTCTATGTCGAGGCACCATGCTAGGTGCTTAGGAGAAAATGTCATACAAGGTGTCATCATGGTGCTTAGCCTGGGGACTCGCAATGGGGGATGGACACATATTACATGCATAAATCTGTTCTTACAATGCAGAGTGATCTACGCCACAGGAAAGGCGTGCACACGATGTTATGAGAGCAAAGAAAAGGGGCTTAGCTATCAGACTGGTCGATCACGGGTGACTTTCTGAAGGAACAGACGTTTTAGCTGCTGAGTGGAAAGATGAACTGTTGCTCTCTAGATGGCAGGAAAGCCAGAGGTGGAAATCTGGGACAGCACGGTCAAAGTTGGGGGGCAAATAAAAACTGAGGCACTGTTGTAGGGATGCATGGGCTGGAGTAAAGGATGCTTGTGAGGTAAGGACACTGTGGACTGCGCTAAGAAATTTCAATTCTATCTAGAAAGCTCTTTGAGGCCACTGAGTGACATTAGTTAGAGGGGTTACCTCATCAGGAACTCATCAGTTTGGCCTTTTGAAAAGAATACTATGACAGTAAAGAAGATGGACAGATAGAAGGTTGGTTAGATTTGAAAAAGGATTACTGTGCAGGCTGTCAACACATATGTTCCCAACTAAGAGAGTACTGGTCAAAGAGATAGGTAATGGGGGAATGGAGAGAGGAATCCTGAAGTCTTAACATCTATTATATAGACTTCAGTGACCACATAGGTGTGGGGTTTGACTAATGGAATCAAAGCTGATGCCTAGGTTTCCTGTTTTCCTAGGATAGTGGAACTAGAGCAGGTTTGGATGATAAACGAGTTCATGTATAGATTTGGATACAGAGGTCTGGGACTCAAAAGAGACATCTGAGCTGAAGATATAAATATTATAGTCATTAGCAAGTAAGTGGTGGCTTAGGCTACAGGTTTAGATGAGGTTACTCAATAGAGTGACAGTGAAGCAAGTAGAGTGGTTGGGATGGAAGCCTCAGGGAGCTACAACATCAAGTTATGAGGAAAATAAGACTGTGATGTCAGGGATGGAGAGAGATTTACAGAAGAAGGAGTAATCAACAGTAGCGAAGGAAATAGAGGGCTAGGGACTGGGCAAAGTGGCTCACACCTGTAATCCCAGCACTTTGGGAGGCTGAGGAGGGTGGATCACTTGAGGCCAGGAGTTCAAGACCAGCCTGACCTACATGGTGAAACCCCTTCTCTACTAAAAATATAAAAATAGTTGGACGTGGTGGCCTGTACCTGTAGTCACAGCTACTCAGGAGGTGGAGTCAGGAGACTCTTGAACCCAGGAGGCAGAGGTTGCAGTGAGCCAAGACTGCACCACTGCACTCCAGCCTAGGTGACAGAGCAAGACTCTGTCTCAAAAAGAAAGTAGAAGGCTAACACGATGAATCCAAGAAAAGGGCCCACTGGATTTGGCAATGACAGGTTACTGGTGACCTTTAGAACCACAGCTGTCTTGATAAACTGCTGGTGGTAGAAGCCAGATTGCAGAGGAGGAAAGAAGTCACTGCTTAAAGGAGCTCTTTGTATGAAAAAGGCTGTTGTAAATCTCTGGATAGTTTAAGTTCCGTGTAGCTGACATTTTGAATATCTTGAGCTAAGCTAAACCTAAAGGTAAAAGAATGAGTCATGTTTAAACATTACAACATTACTTTAACTGCTCTGTTTCTTCTCATTTCTTGTAGGGTTTAGCGCTGGTGGATAGACACTCGAGACCGGAAATCATATCTTTGCTGAAAGTAGATGATTTACCTGAGGATAATCAGGAACGTTTTAATAGCCTTTTCTCTCTAAGGGAGAAGTGGACAGAAGAAGATATTGCCCCATATATTCAGTAAGTAATTTATTAAAGACGGATTTTGAGGGTTGTTCTTTTTACGGTGAGTGGCACAGCATTTTAGATTCATGATTGGAACACAATTTCTTTGAGTATTCCCTGAGGATACTGCTTCCCTAGAAACTCTTAGGTGGTGGCTGTCTTCTCTGTCCTCCACAGTTACTGCTTCTGGAGGTGGAATATGTGTTACCTCTGTTCCTCACTATTGCTTCTAAAACCACTTCTTTGCTCTCATTCCTGGAAAACTGTCCCCTTTGAGGGACAAAACACATATCCCATTATGACTCTAAGGCCAACACCCCTCTCTGATTGCCACCTCATGCCTTACTTTATTTAACATTTTGGGAGAGGCCAGATTGCAGTAGAACACGTTAGCCCCAAAGTTACTTCTTACAAAATCTTGAGTCCCCTAATGCTTGAAATCAACTAACACTACAACTTTGTCACTGTGTCAGACCTCTCAGGTGTTCTTTCTTCTCTTTACCCAGCTCGAATCCCGTGGTCAATCTTCTTAGCTCTTACTGTCTACACTTTACTCCTGTGGCCCTCTCTCCCTCTTGCCATATCTGTCTGGCAAAAAGCTAAAAAGATTAAACCCAACTTTCTGCTTACTCTGTGCCTACACATGGCCAGCTAAAACTTTCTGGAGAATACTACACAATGAAGCTGCCAGTCTTGCTTAAGAACCTAGTGGTACTTAGAACGGCCCCTCGCCAGGTATGATTTCCTCATGGAACTTCTCTACCCTTGGAGCTTCTTCTACATCTTCTTTTCCTTTTTCATACCAGCAGTACCCTCTGTTTCCTTTTATGATCTTATTTGTTTCAGAACATAGAAGCAGTGCGGCCAGAACAACCTTCTTTCTCACTGCCAAATCGGCCAACCTCCTCACGTGTACACCTACTTCCTTTGCAGTCCTGTGTAGTGTATGAATTTTCCATGCTCCTAAGGCCAGTCCTTCTGCAGTAGGTCCATCTCCTCTGCCTTCTTAAACACTTGGATCCTCGAGTTACCCCTTTCACCCCTTGTGTTATTATGTCTCCCTCTTCTGGATCAACCCCACCAGCATACAAAATTCTGTAATATTGCCCATCTTGAAAGACAACAATAGCAACCTATTGGACCCCATGTCCTTTGCTCTCCTTCATAAGAAAATGTCTTTTACAAGTTTCCTATACTCACTCTATGCTTTTCACCTCCCATTCTTTCCTTTACTCAATGACATCTTCTTAATCCAATGACATCCGTCTTTCTACACTCAATGCTTAATCATTTGTCCTTGATTACTTGACTTAGCACTATTTGACAGTGTCTGCTTCCTCCTACTTGAAACACAAGTTTCTCCCCTCTTCCTTGGATGAGAGGGGAGAAAACCATCTCTTTTGTTGATGTCTCCCTTTTCTTCTCAATCTTTAAATGTTGGAGTGCTCCAGGTCTATTTTTCGGCCATCTTCTCTTCTGTTTATACTTTTCCTTTGGTGCCCTCATCTAGGCCTGGAAACAAATTTAACGACTTCCTAATTTCATCTTCATACTTGCCCTTTTCCCTGAAGTCCAGATTCCTATATCTAGTTGCCTAATTCACCTTTCCAGTTGGATATCCAATAGGAATTTCAAGCTTAACATGTTCATAACAGAATCGTTGCTTCTCCCTCGGCCTTACCCCGCTTCATCAACACAGTTAACAGCACCACTACTAATCCAGTTACTTAAACTAAAGTCTAGGAATCATCCCTGTCCTTTCCTTCCCCTACCTTCTGGTTCAAACTATGAGCAAGCCCTGATGGATCATCTTGTACCTGCCTCTGAATTGCTCTCCCTGTTCTATTTTTGCCCCCTTCCCCTTTTTCCTTCTTATACTGTTTAAATATTCAAATGACAATATAATGAAACCTCCATATATCTACTGCTCAGCTTCCATAATCATCAACTCATTGGCTCCTTTATTTATTTATTTATTTATTTATTTATTTATTTATTTGAGACGGCGTCTCACTCTGTTGCCCAGGTTGGAGTGCAGTGGTGTGATCTTGGCTCACTGCAAACTCTGCCTCCTGAGTTCAAGCGATTCTCTTGCCTTAGCCTCCTGAGTAGCTGGGACTACTGGCGTGCGCCACTGTACCTGGCTAATTTTTGTGTTTTTAGTAGAGACAGGGTTTCACTATGTTGGCCTGGCTGGTCTCAAACTCCTGACCTCAACTAATCTGCCCACCTTGGCCTCCTAAAGTGCTGGGATTACAGGCGTGAGCTACCGTGCCCGGCCACCTCCATTATTTAAAACTTAGATCACATTGCACTTTTCCATTAATTAAAACACTCTTAGTGTTTTAATTATGTAATCTTCCCATTACATGTAGAATTAAGTCACAATTCTTTTTCCCTGTGCTTCAAGGTTCTACATGATCTAGCTGTTGCCCCTTCTCCAGCTCATGTCCTCCTATTCCTCCCTCTCCTCGTTACGTTCCAGTCATAATCTTCTTCTCTTTGAGGTACAGAAGAGGAAACCAAAGTTCAGGAAGCGTTGGTAACCTAGACAAGTTCACACAGGTACCTTGTATCCAGGTTCTCTGACTCTAGGCCCTGCTGTATAGGCCTCACTACTGCTTGTATTTCTAATTTAGAGGCTGTGTGATATAATAGAAATGGCATAGACTTTGAAGTTATACAAACCTGGTGGCAGAATTGGACTCTGTCATTTATTACTTGTCTGAGCCATAGTTCCTCATATCTAACACAGGGTGAAATAATACATTACTCCTAGTTTTTGTTTTTTGCTTTTTTTTGGTTTTTTGAGACGGAGTCTCACACCGTCGCCCAGGCTGGAGTGTAGTGGCGCGATCTCCGCTTACTGCAACCTCCGCCTCCTGGATTGAAGCAATTCTCCTGCCCGAGCCTCCCAAGTAGCTGGAATTACAGGCACCCACCACCACGCCCTGCTATTTTTTTTCTCTTTTTAGTAGAGACGGGGTTTCACTATGTTGGCCAGGCTGTTCTTGAACTCCTGACCTTGTGATCTGCCCACATCGGCCTCCCAAAGTGCTGGGATTATAAGCATGAGCCACCCGCCTGGCCTACTCCTACTTTTATTGTGTGGGTTAAATGAGGTAATACATGTAATGTACTTAATTTAATTAAAACTTAGAACCACTCCCCACCCTATCTCTCCCACAAACACCTACACTTATGTTTGTTGAGAAGACAGATTCGGGGGAGAGAGATAAAATAAGTACATAATACTGCATCATAATATGTTCCCTAAAATATTCATGTTATTTTTTTTTTTATTGTTCCTACAGAGATTTGTGTGGAGAGAAGCAAACCATAGGTGCACTACTCACTAAATATTCTCGTTCTTCGATGCAAAATGGTGTTAAAGTTTATAATTCGAGAAGACCCATTTCTTAAAAGAACAACAGTTTTTCCTTCGGGACTCAAGTTGCTTTATAAAGCTGCTGGATACAAGAAAACTTGTACTTTTATATCTGACTTTTAAAAACCTAGTTTTCTAAGGCCTTTTCCTCCTCATGTTAAGCATTTTGAAACTACTGTTGTTATTTCTTAAATGTTATAGGATGTAGCTTTCAAATTATATTTGTATTATGTACACAGTGTAAACAAGGACAAAAGAAAGTATTGTTTCCTATGTTATGTCTGAGGTCTCTGATTTATTTAAAGTTTGGCTTTTTATTTTTAAAGTGTCATTTCTTTATTTAGGATTTGATGTTCTAATCATTAATACATTTTAAGTTTTCCAGAGAATTAAATAGTAATAGTTTCATAGAAGAGAATTCTTTATTCACTTAAATATCATTTCTCAAGTGAGTGAGTTCCCCTCTACTTTTACCCTTCTACCCAAACTAGAAGCCACTAGGTGCTATCAATTATTTATATTCGTTGTTTACATCCATGAAATTGGCTGAATAATTACTCCTCTGCCTGGCGTAGACATGCACTTCAGGGAAAAAATGGGTTTATAATCCTATAATGAAGAATACTGGCACAGGCAGTGCTCACTTGAAAACTTCAAGTAATTTCTAGTTGGTTTTGGAATGCTTGCTAAAGTTCCTTTACAGCTTTATTTTCCTGATTTGTTTTGGTTTAGATCAAAGTTCAAATTAATTTTAACTTAGCTAATGAACTGGTCACCAGGACAGTTGGAGGGGGTACAGGCCAAGGTTAAATGGTCCAAGTTTTAAAAATGTTAATGGATAATCCATAATTAATTAAACAAGGTTTGACTGTTACTGAAGTTTACAAGTTTTTATTGTCACGAACATGAAATACAAACACGATGGCTTTGAAATGTCTTTCAATAAATGTTTCTGCATTTATATGGATTATATGATATATATACATACACAGTCTACATATCGATGTGTAGTCTATTTATTTATTTATTTTGAGACGGAGTCTCGCTTTGTCGCCCAGGCTGGAGTGCAGTGGCATGATCTCAGCTCACTGCAAACTCAGCTTCCCGAGTTCAGGTGATTCTGATGCCTCACCCTCCCGAGTGGCTGGGAATACAGGCGCACGCCACGACGCAGGGCTAATTTGTGTATTTTTAGTAGAGACGGGTTTTCACCATGTTGGCCAGGCTGGTCTCGAACTCCTGACCTCAAGTGATACGCCTGCCTCGGCTTCCCAAAGTGCAAGGATTACAGGCGTGAGCCACCACGCCTGGCCTCTGGTCTGTATTTTATTCTTTTTCTTTTTCTTTTTTTTTTCCTGAGACAGTCTCAGCTCTGTCGCCCAGGCTGGAGTGCAGTGGAACGATCTCAGCTCACTGCAACTTACGTCTCCCGGGTTCAAGCAATTTTCCTGCCTCAGCCTCCCAAGTAGCTGGGATTACAGGCGTGCACCACGCCCAGCTAATTTTGTATAATTTTTAGTAAAGACGGGGTTTCACCATGTTGGTCAGGCTGGTCTCGAACTCCTGACCTCAAATGATCGGCCCGCCTCGGCCCCCCAAAGTGTTGGGATTACAGGAGTGAGTCACTGCGCCTGGCCTTGTAATCTATATTTTAAAATAAATATTAAGGCAGCAGTGCCTAGTGAGAGCTCCAGAGTGCTGGAGTTTTGACATTTAGACTACCTGCAGTCTAATCACATATTTTAGAGCTTAAATCATCGGACCCAGTGTGTCTGTTGACACAGCAAGCCAGAGGCACGCACCTTCTCCTGATTTAGGGAGACTTCCCACCACCCCACCCCGCCCGGTTACTAGCACCCTGCCCCAGCCTATTTATACCTGGCTCTTCGCAAACTTTGTCCTCCATTCTTCTTAATATGCTTGTACTAGAAAACTACCTTTCCTCCTTTTGTTGCTGCTGTTCTCGCTTCATCCACCAAATAGTTTCTTCGCTTTCCTAAATTTTAACAATTTTTTACGATAAGGCACAGGCGAAAATCGCAAGCCCCGCCCATTGACAAGACTTCCTAGTTCTACCCCCGCCGCCGTTCCACTTCCGCTGACGTCGGAGGTCAGAGGTTTCAGACGACATGTCGGCCGATGGTCGCTTTGAGCCTTTGCGGAGAGGAGCATCTCTGTGACAGAAGCTTGTTGACGGCGGCTTCTAGGAGCTAGTCGAAGGATCGAGGTTGAGACGGGCAGCACCCTTCAGTTCGCGCCCCTGGGGACTGGCCGGCTGCGAGACGTGACTTTTGGGGACCGCAGGGGAGCGGGGAGTGTGAGGTGCCAAAGACCAGTAATGCCCTGTATCCCACCGGGAAGCCGGGAAGCCAAGCTCCGCGGGACCACTTCATGCCGCTGACTGGTGTAGAGCCCGCCAGAATGAACAGGAAGAAAGGAGACAAGGGCTTTGAAAGCCCAAGGCCATATAAATTATAAGTATTTTTTCATTTCCCTTTCTTCCTTTTGGTTTTGTTGCCATTAATTACATTTTGTGATTGCTTGAAATTGACTTGGTGGGCCTGGGAAACTAGAATTTACTAGTTGGATGGAAATGGTGTTTGTAAGGTAAAAATGTTTTGAATGACAGTGTTATTCAGCAAATTTAATTCCCGTTGCAGGTTACTTAAGTTTTTTTCTAAGTACTAGATTGTATTTCTGTAAAATCTGTTTTCGTGACTGTTGCTAGATTTGTAAAAATCATCCCAATTGGTAAAGGTTTTTTTTTTTTTTTTTTTAATTTTTTTATTTTTTTAGATGGAGTCTCTCTCTGTCGCTCAGGCTGGAGTGCAGCGACGCGATCTTGGCTCACTGCAGCCACCACCTCCCGGGCTCAAGCTTTTCTACTAGCTCAGCCTCCTGAGTAGCTGGGATTACAGGCATGTGCCACCATGCCCGGCTAACTTTTGTATTTTCAGTAGAGACTGGGTTTCACTCTGTTGGCCAGGCTGGGCTCGAACTCCTGACCTCGTGATCTGCTTGCCTCGGCCTCCCAAAGTGCTGGGATTACAGGCGTGTGAGCCACCGCACCAGGCCCCGATTTGTAGAGTTTTAAAATGAAATATTGACATGCAAGTTTGAATTACTTAGAACATAGTCCTAATTTATACTTGGATATAATTATACTTTAATAATAAAAATTATTTCTTCTTTATTTTCTTTTTATATTTATTAATATACAACCCATCAGGTCGTCTGCATCAACAACATAAATTTCCAGAGAAAATCTGTTGTGGTAAGTTTATTCTCAACAATTATAAACAGTAACAAGTCCACTATAAAGAGTAACAATCCACCCCTCACAGTACTTAGAAAGTTTATAGTCTTCCAGATAATTGTTTCGAGAATAGGTAAGAATTAAAATTAGGGTCTGTATGATTACAAGTTCCATGGTCCTTCTACTAATAACTATCGCCTCCCAAATTCTCCCTTTCCTTTTTTTTCAATTTCCTAATTAAAATTTTATTACTCTTTATCTGGTATATAATGTGAAAGCCTGTATAGCCAAGCATTTTATAATTGTGCATGAAACAAGTATAAGACCATAGCAACATTTCTTCTATGAAAAAGATTAAGATTAATACACTCACTGACTTGGCTTCTAAGAGGCTACTTTTGCTTCTTGACTAGGTGATGTTGCTTTGTAATGAAGTTTTAGACAGAGAATTTGAGATCTAGAAACCCTCTACCTCCCCCCAGCCCCCGACACAATTTAGATGTATGAATTGCTGATATAATCAATTTTAGGAAAAAGCTTGAACACTCAAGTTTTTTGTTTGTTTGTTTGAGACAGAGTCTCGCTCTGTCACCCAGGCTGGAGTGCAGTGCTGTGATCTTGGCTTACTGCAACCTCCACCTCCTGCGTTCAAGTAGTTCTCCTACCTCAGCCTCCCAAGTAGCTTGAATTACAGGTGTGCACGACCACGCCCGACTTATTTTTTTATTTTTAGTGGAGTCAGAGTTTCTCCATGTTGGCCAGGCTGGTCTCGAACTCCTGACCTCAAGTGATTCACCTGCCTCTGCCTCCCAAAATGCTGGGATTACAGGCATGAACCACTGCACCTGGCTGAAAACTCAAGTATTTATTTAATTTACTTTCTTAGGGCTACCTTTATTACATAGACTAAAATGTTAATGAGAGCTGGTTTTCCTGGAGTGATGGTATCAACTTCTCTGTCAGATTTGTTACCCATGTATGTACATGTTTACTTAGGATAAGCTGAATAGATAGAAAAATGTCACTTTTCATAAGAGTCATAGAATCTTAGATTTGTAATGTTCCTAAAAGGTTTATTAAATCTAGTCTCCTCATTTATGGAATTTCTCATGCAGTCTTCCCTAAGTTATGTACCTTGTATCTTATAGTAGGATACTTGAGTTGTATTATGTTATATGAATTGGATAGGAAACACAAGGGAATTAGGGAGTCTAGTTCAGAGGTTACTGCAGTAATCTAGGGGAGAAATGGTGAAGTCCTAAATGAAGATAGCCTTTGTGAAAATGGAATTGAAATAGAGTTGACATGATTGAATTAGTGAACATATATTTAGCCATTAATATATGTAAGGTATCTTCTAAGGTTTATGTGTATTAACTCAATCTTCGTAATTACCTTATGAGGTAGATAATATTTTCATCCTCATATTAGGATTAAGGCATAATTGAGGCAGCTAAAAGAATGGAGGTTAAGTAACTTTCTTAAGGGCATAAAGTTGGCAAATGATAAGAGTTCGATGCACTTTCTTTACATCTGTCATTCCCTCTTCCACCTGTGTTGTCCCACAGGAATCAATAGACAGAAGTTGCACATGACTTTTTCAGGACTGCTATAAAGGGGTTGTGGATGACTTAAGTTTCCCACTGGAAACTTTGGTTGGATGTTGTGTGGGTTAGGATCTTGGCAGGAAGTAAATGGCATATATATATATATATATACACGCATATATATATATACACACAATTTAGTATAAAACTAAATTGTAACAGTCCCTGCTTCCCTTAGCTGGTAGCATGGCCGAAGTTGATATACACTGCTTTATTTCTCCACTCCTTTGGTATTTCCTTTTCCTTCTGCTGATATTTCTATTGGGATGACCTAGACCCTTGTTTCTTTAGGACATTCACTGCTGTTCATGTCTTTATTGGGTTGTTGCAGTTTCTGTTGCCTAGGACTGTTAGGGGGGATCTGAGAGGCATCTCAGGAAATCCCCTAGATTTCAGATGTGATTCTTGTCCGTATTGTATAGCAAAGCTTTAATTTTCTGTTTGATAATTGAAATGATTCATTCCAGCCAGAACAGGACCCCTTTCTCTGCTTTTTGGTTCTTTGGGATGAGGAGCTCAAGGTGGTCAAGAGGTAGCCTCAACTTCCAATGGAATGGAATCATGAGTATATGCCCTGCTGGATGCATTCTTCACTTGGGCAGTAGGACCTCTCAACACACTGAACCCAGGGTCAGAGACAGGAGGCAAAAATTCCTTCCATGGCTGGGCACGGTGGCTCACACCTGTAATCCCAGCACTTTGGGAGACTGAGGTGGGTGGATCACCTGAGGTCAGGAGTTCGAGACCAGTCTGACCAACATGGTGAAACCCCATCTCTACTAAAAATACAAAAATTGGCCAGACGCAGTGGCTCATGCTTGTAATCCCAGCACTTTGGGAGGCCGACGCGGGCAGATCACAAGGTCAGGAGTTTGAGACCAGCCTGGCCAACATAAGGAAACCCTATCTCCACTAAAAATACAAAAAATTAGCTGAGCATGGTGGCGGGCACCTGTAATCCCAGCTACTTGGGAGGCTGAGGCAGGAGAATCACTTGAACACGGGAGGCAGAGGTTGCAGTGAGCCAAGATTGTGCCACTGCACTCCAGCCTGGGCAACATGACAAAACTCTGCCCCCCCCCCAAAAAACAAAAAAGTTCCTTCCATGGCCTTTTTGGTGTAATAGTGAGAGTAGTCACTCCAACTTTCAACCCTTGGTTCCCAGTTCTGTTTTGGCTAGGAGAGACAATCCTATATATTGTCTACTAATTTAAGGCAGCATCCCGTGGGAGGTTTCTCAGTTGTTGCTGTGACTGAGCCTTCAGCAATTGATCATGCCATCTACTTCTGTGTGATAGAGTACAAGGTAAAATGCATAAGTTTAAACAAATGGTTACTCTGTGTATGGAAGGGAGGGGCAGCAGGTTTGAGAGGAAAGATTCATAGGTCAGATTAGAAAATGTTACATTTCATGCACTTTGGGGTTATTGAGATGAATAGTGGGTAGTTGGCTACATGTCTGTGCAGTAAAGGATGGTGAGAGAGATTTGGGAGCCTTTGATATACAATTGTTCATTAAGGGTATGGAAAACCTCACTTAGAGTATCTAGCAGGAAGTGAGCATCAGGGAGAAATATTTGAAGAATATGATATTTGAGAAAACTGACACTTGGCTTGGAGAAACCAGCAAAAACCTTTTTTTTGAGACAGGATCTCACTGTCACCTAGGCTGGAGTACAGTGGTGCAGTCATAGCTCACTGCAGCCTCAACCTCCGTGGCCTCAGGTGCTTATCCTACCTCAGCCTCCTGACTAGCTGGGACCACAGGCTAATTTTTGTATTTTTTGTAGAGCACAGACCAGCCTGGCTAATTTTTGTATTTTTTGTAGAGATGGAGTTTTGCCATTTTGCTTAGGCTGGTCTCAAACTCCTGGGCTCAAGCGATCCACCCTACTTCGGCTTTCCAAAGTGCTGGGATTACAGGTGTGAGCCACTGCACCTGGCTGAAAAACATATTTTAAGAAGGAGGAGGCTGGGCGTGGTGGCTTACACCTGTAATCCCAGCACTTTGGGAGGCCGAGGCCGGTGGATCATGAGGTCAGGAGTTTGAAACCAGACTGGCCAACATGGTGAAACCCCGCCTCTACTAAGAATACAAAAAAATTAGCTGTGTGTGGTGGCAGACGCCTGTAATCCCAGCTACTCGGGAGGCTGAGGCAGGAGAGTCGCTTGAACCCAGGAGGTAGAGGTTCCAGTGAGCCGAAATTGCACCACTGCACTCCAGCCTGGGCAACAACAGTGAAGCTCCATCTCAAAAAAAAAAAAAAAAAGAAATGGTATTAATTTTAAATGTAAACAGTAAATATAAACTTGAAAACTGAAAGTAATTCTTGGTCATTAGTGACCACAGCAAGGGTAATGTATTAGTCCATGTTCATGCTGCTAATAAAGACATACCTGAAACTGGGCAATTTACAAAGGAAAGCAGTTTAGTGGAGAACTCATAGTTCCATGTGGCTGGGGACACCTCACAATCATGGCAGAACGCAAGGAGTAGCAAGCCACCTCTTACATGGATGGCAGCAGGCAAAAAGAGAGCTTGTGCAGAAAAACTCCCGTTTTTTTTTTTGTTGTTGTTGTTGCTTTTTGTTTGTTTTTTAATTATACTTTAAGTTCTGGGTTACATGTGCAGATCGTGCAGTTTTGCTACATAGGTACACACGTGCCCTGGTAATTAGCTGCACCCATAAACTTGTCACCTACATTAGGTATTTTTTCTAATGTTATCCCTCCTCTAGTCACCCACCCCTCAACAGGCCCTGGTGTTTGATGTTCCCCTCCCTGTGTCCATGTGTTCTCGTTATTCAATTCCCATTTATGAGTGAGAACATGTAGTATTTGGAAAAACTCTTGTTTTTAAAACCATCAGATTACAGTGGCTCACGCCTGTAATTGCAGTGCTTTGGGAGGCCGAGATGGGCGGATCCCCTGAGGTCAGGAGTTCAAGACCAGCTTGGCCAACGTGGTGAAACCCCATCTCTACAAAAATACAAAAATTAGCCGGGCCTGATGGTGGGTACCTGTAATCCCAGCTGCTTGGGAGGCTGAGACGGGAGAATCTCTTGAACCTGGGAGGCGGAGGTTGCAGTGAGCCAAGATCGTGCCATTGCACTCCAGCCTGGGTGACAGAGTGAGACTTTGTCTCAACAACAAACAAACAAACCGTCAGATCTCGTGATACTTACTATCATGAGAACAGCGCAGGAAAGACTTGCCCCCATGATTCACTTACCTCCCACTGGGTCCCTCACACAACACATGGGAATTCAAGATGAGATTTGGGTGGGGACACATCCAAATTGTATCATTGTGCCCCTGGCCCCTCCCAAATCTTACGTCCTCACATTTCAAAACCAATCATTCCTTCCCAAAGTCCCCCAAAATCTTATTTTAGCATTAACTCAAAAGTTC